GATATAGATATATGTGTGTATGTATAAGAATTATATAGATAAGAATATATACAGTAATCCTTCCTATTCACGGGAGATATGTTCCAAGACCACCCCCACTGGATGCCTGAAATCGGTAGTACTGAGCACTATGTGTACTTTATCTTTTTCCTTATACGTAGATATTTGTGATAAAGATTAATTTATATATTAGGCCCAGTAAGAGGTTAACAATTACTAATAGTAAAATAGAACAATTATACTGTAATAAAAGTTATGTGAATGCTGTCTGTCTCTTCTCAAAATATCTTATTGTACTATACTCACTCTTCTTGTGATGATGTGAGATGATACAGTGCCTATGAAATGAGATGAAATGAAGTGAATGACGTAGGCATTGTTATATAGCATTAGCTACTACAAGGGCTACTTAAACACAAGCACTGAGATACTGTGGCAGTTGATCTGATAAAACTTAACTAAATGACTAATGGGCCGGTAGTGTATACAGTGTAGTTATGTCCTGGGTGGGATGGAGCGGGACAGCACGAGATTTCATCACACTACTCAGAATGGTGCACAATTTAACTTGTAAATTGTTTATTTCTGGAATTTTCTATTTAATATTTTCGGACCACAGATGACCACTGGCAACTGAAACTTCAAATAAGGGAGACTGCTCTGTATTGATATCCAAAATTGGATATACTATATATGGATAGCTGATAGATATCTATATATGTATCCTTATCTGTATAATATTATACACACATATACACATATATCTATACACTTTTATGTATCTACATCTATGTAGAGAGACAGATTAATACAGGGGTCCCCAACCGGCGGGCCATGGAATGGTACCAGTCTGTGGCCTGTTAGGAACCAGGCTGCACAGCAGAAGGTGAGCAGCTGGTGAGCAAGCGAAGCTTCATCTGTATTTGCAGCCGCTCCCCAGCACGAGTATCACTGCCTCAGCTCCATCTCAGATCATCAGGCATTAAATCTTCGTAGGAGCACTAGTCCCTGGTGCCAAAAAGGTTGAGGACCATTGAATTAATAGATCTATCAATATCTATCTATATGTCTATATAGATAGAGATGGACTATATAGAGCCCCATTCTTTTTTTACACAAATCATAGCATACTTTATGTGCTCTTCTGCATGCTATTTCATTATTCATATGTCTTGCAGCTCATTCTGTAATGCGTATGAATCTATCTTATTCTTGTACCATTGTACAAGACTATTGTACCATCATATCATAAATAATAAAATGCATTTCCTCAGACTCCTATTCATTAATTCTTCTTTTAAACCTTTAAAACACCCCTGCAAGATGGGTATTATTGTCCAAATTTAAGAGAGGATGTTGACATCCTCAGAGATCAAGTGACTTGCCCAAGTTTACATCGTTAGCCTGTATTCCAAGCCCAAAATTAATTACAGCCATCTAAACTATTGAGAGCTTTGCTGTTTTAGAGCTAGACCCCTAAAAATTTTTGAGTTGACACAACTTGGTCTTGTGAGTAGGATCGATGAAACTGAGGTCAGCAGAGCGAAGAAAACCTGATAATTTCTTCCTTTATGAGCATAACTAGACTCTATTATGGGAGCCAAAAAGAACATGGGTGGTTTTAATGGGTGAATTTAGTTAATGCCTAGATTTTGATGGGGTCATTAATGGCCCCAGAGCAGGAAGCACAACCTGGAGGAGCTTTGCTCAGTCTGGTGTCTCCGATTCACGTAGGCGTCACATTTCCCTTAGATTACTTCTCTTCCAGTTCCTGTCATAATGCAACCAACAAGCAGAAAAGTGGTAGTCATTACTGGCATTTGAATAGCAATTTCAAATACCATAAAGACATTTGAAACTCACGTCAGGTAGGCAGGAAAAGCAGCTATTACTAACCTCATTTTACAGATGAGAAAACCAAGACCAAAAGGGCAGGTGAGGGCTAACTTAGTGACAGCTCGAGGTCCTGAAACTGACCATAGCAGGACACATCATAATTGTGGAAGAGGAGTAGCCTGAGAGGAGGCAGAGAATGGAACTTGGGGAAGAGGAGGAGGTAGCGGTAGGACTCCTCTTTGGAACTAAATCCTAAGTATTATGCTCTTCCTATTCACTTAACTCCAGCCACTGAGGCCTCAGCTTTATCAGACCCAATGCCTAATTTTTAAAATAAATATCTTGAAACACTTTATAAAATTCAGAGATAGTATAACCTCTGACACACAGTTTTATTTTGTGTGTGTTTTATTTTCCCAAATAGCCCTGAGCTCCTTGAAGACAGGGATAGTACTTTTTCATATGTCTCGGTATCACTCTCAGTGCATTTCACATAGTATGTTTTCAATAATGTGTTTTTTTCATATGTCTCGGTAAAAATATATTGATAAAAGCTTTATTCATGATATCCCCAGACTGGAAACAACCCAGTGCATTTCACATAGTATGTTTTCAATAATGTGTTCTTTTTATTAGTAGTATTATTGAAAGACAACATACATACAGCTAAGTGCACCTACTGTTTTGACTTCTACCATCATCTATTGGTTTTGTCTGTTCTTGAGCTTCATATAAATAGAATTATAAGGTATGTCTTTTTTGTGTGTCTGACTTCTTTCAGAAGCCTATGAGATTCATCCATGTTTTTGACTGCTGGAGTCTTCAATTGTGTGACTATGCCACAATATATTAATTCTCCTGTTGATTTGGGTTGTTTCCAGTCTGGGGATATCATGAATAAAGCTTTTATCAATATATTTTTACAAGTCTTTTTGTGGACTATTCTCTTGGGTGCGATAGCTGTGCCATAGAGTAAGTGTATGCTTCAGTAAACTGCCATGCTCTAAGCGTATTTGTAAAGAAAAAAAAGAAAAATGCTTTTTATTAAAAATACGTATTTAAGTATGTAAATACTGAGACATGATTTCCCTCGAAGATATGAAACAATTCAGAGATTTGCACCTACTT